GTGGCAACCATAAAGAATTAACAAAGTAGAGGTAAAGTCTACTAATACTTGAAAGGTGTGCAAGCATCATTTTGATTGTGTTTTAATGGATACATACGTTAGAACTCGTCTTATTCTTACTTGTAAAACCAAAATCTAATGAATGAGGAAAATGATTATACAACGGAGATTTGAGTCTATCAACCCTTATTTAATAGCTTGACATTATCCAAAAATAACTAATTTGGGATCAAGGGTAAGGATTACTAAAACAAACACAAGTAGACGGATCATGTTATGTGGTGATATTCGTATACTTGGGGAACCAACCACTCATGTAAACTTAACTTACAGATTTTGCATGATACACACTTGAAAAGGTTACTAATATAAGATCTTACAACATTATGAACTCATGGAGATCACAGGACCATTGTTTCATCTCTCATTGATTCAAAAACATGTTCAGTTGATATTTGCTACTTCCTTACTTGTGAAGAATATAAGGATTTCCTATTATATCCCCCCCCCCCTCTTTGGAAATAAGACTAAGAGCACAAATGACCACAATCGGCGTAGATCCAAGTCATATTCCTTGTGGAATTGATTTTAACTTTAGTTAGGTGCTATATTTAAACAATAACCACTTTATATTTCCTTTCAAAGTTGTAAGGCGTACCAAGGTGTCAAATTAACTGTTCATCAACTAATAGTATCAAGTATTCTAGCCTCGTTTGAGGTAAAGCTATTACATTGTAGTTGATAGAATCAAATCATTATTAACGATCTTTTTTCCTAATCTATACTTCTATGTCAAGCAAGTGACAATACAAACGAGTTCCTTATAATGTTTTCAACCATTTAAAGAAAACATTAATTGTGAAATGAACTTGATACACGATGATTAACCCTTTATTAAAAGATATTTATTGTAAAGAACTTGTTATCATAATCTCTACTCTAAGTTTCATAACCCGAGTTATGAGTTTAGCTACTGCTAACTATAATAAATTAAACTATTAAAGTACATGAATGAAGAAGAAAATAAGAAAAATAGTTTATTAATGTAGCTCTTGCAATCGAATTTTGTCTATTCCAAAATTAAATCTGTAAAGTAAACCCTAGAACCTAAGAACAATGAATTCTAATATGTATGAGTAAGTTGTTATCCTCTTTTAATAATTTGTAAGCAACAACATCCAAAAATAAACAAGTGAATAAAAATAATATATATATCGAAATTATGTTCTCAATCGGAATATGTTTCGACTAGGTCTAACTCAGTCTACTAAGCACGAATTGTGATGTGGGGTCCATCGCGAGGGATACTGCCTCACAGATTGGGATCAATTTAGACCCTTCCTTCTTTTGTTGAGTCTCTTTAAGTTTAGTTTCTGTCACAATTCAAAATACATCCTAGATGTGACATGGCGTACAAGATTTCGAGAGGCCCTATATAAACCACTAACATACATACAACAGAACATAATATATAGTCTTGACAAACCAATCTATCACATCAAAAGAAGTGGTCCACGTAAAACGTCAGAAAACTAAAACATAATTAAAACATAGTAAAGGTGAGATGGTCCCCGAAACATGAGGACTCACAAAATTTTCACGGTCAAGCACACAATCACTAGCAATGAGCGGGAGGAGGATAAGCGTCAGACCCTACATTATGGGACAATGTAGGCACAAGTATACATTAATACATGAAATGCACCAAGTATGAGGGATATGCATAAGAATGTAAACATATCCATAAGGGGACATACAGGAAAACTTGTATGCATGACCAAGCTAAAACATAGTAAAACCTTGAAAGAAGAATCATAAATCATGAACATGGTCAATGTATTTTAAAACATAAGGAAAGCTTCATAAACTCTTTGAAAGTAACTTAGTTTATTTTGTGGGATATTTATTATTAGTTGATATAGATGACGTGAGCTATAACGTGAAATTCGTTGTCTTGCTCCCGCACCAAAAGAGATGTCCTTACTTGCCAAGGCAAGGACCATAAACTTCTAGCTTAGGTTGATCCATTAGTATGTCTTTCTAAGGCAAATTCTACGGGGGCATGTAGTTAAGGATAAGGAGATTGCCACTAGAGACCCCAACCTTTACTAATGGGAGAACCTACATCAATATCCTCTTGATGCTTAGTAAAGTTTCAATGCAATAGTCATATTCATAAGCATATCAACATACATGGAAAAACACAATTAAGTTACTAATAAAGCTTAAGTCATCATAGTGAAGATCCTTAAGTTATGAATCATGCATGTATGAGAAAACCTTTTACCAAATCATGATTTCTTAATATGTGAGAAAACCTTTCATAATTTTTATTGATACTCATCTTAGAAGCAATACTTAAATCATAAACCATCTTTTCATAAATCATGCATGACTTTCATAAATAATTATTTATAAGTTCATAGTTTTTTTTATCAACACATACTCTTTATAAATTCATAGTCAAAATCATGAATAATGCATGGGTCCATATAAAATCAGTTAAAAGTATGTAATTAAATCTAATTATTGATAAGAAAACTAAATCAAACAATCGAATCATAATAATTAAGACTCATGGAGAATCAGATGAAACCCAAGCCAATTTTGATTAAATAGAATTGGAAACTTGAAAATCTTTTGAGGCCCAATGGATTGGTTAATTCCCACATACTTTGATGATCAAACCCCAAAAGCAATGGAGAAAAAGAAGACTTGAAGCTTGAACCATAGTTTTTTTTTTCTTGAAGCTTGAGAGAATTTAGAGGGGATGAACTTAAATAGGATTTGGGGATTTGAGAAGATGAAAGGATATGAGTAGATTTAGTAATAAAAGGGTAGTTGTAGGACTTAGAATTAAGGTCAAAACAATATAGTATAGGCATTAAATGTATCGGAGAAGACCTAAATATCCTTAAGAAATAACTATCGGATGAAGCTACGGCCCGTAGAAATTTCTACGGCCCTACTGGTCAATTGTAGAATCAACTTTAGAAACCAAAAAATTCAATCATTTTCCACAAGACCCCTTTACGGTCTGTCGTTCATTCTACGGTTCGTTCACAAGTTCAAGCCCAAAATTTCACTAAGTCAAGATTAGTTCAACGACACCATCATATGACCCGTAAAACCAACTATGTATGATCCGCCAATCCTTTCTCGTAGACTAAAGTCTCAATCAATTACTCTGGACCACCCCTAAGGATCAATCCTACGATCCATCAAACTTCCTACGGCTCGTCCTGTCAAGTTGTAGGTCAAACTTCAAAAGTTTGAAATTTTAGAAATTTAACTCAACTTCTATGATTTATCTTTCTACGTCTGTATGATTGGACTCGAAGTTCATTGCTGGAAATTCTGCAACTTTTCCTTTCCAACTTGACTTTCCAATTTTCAAGGTGTTACAATTCTTCAATGTTATGATGTAGGGGCCATCTTAGGGTCCTTCCAGCAACTCTTTTTGCTTTTATCTTATTTTGGATTACTTCGCTTTAGATTCTAATCCATTATATTGGTTTTTTTTAAAACCAAATTTTTGCTTGAAATCATCGTAATCATGTGTATTAGCTCATCACAATATATAAATTATAAACACATGAACATTCACAAGATTATGCTCAGATGTTGGCTAAATTATGGGTAAAATATGGTGTTTGAATATGTATATTTACCCATATTAGTTTTGAAGGTTGTTCTGTATGATCACAATGCATTGTCCAACTTATGAGACCAATCAATGTGGCTTTTCACAGTGTTTGCCAATATACTCTTGATATCTTGGTTAAACACTTACACTTTACCGTTTGATTGAGGATGATAATTAATGTGTCCACTCTATTAACACTATACTCAGCCAAAAATGAACCAAATAGGCTGTTAATTATTATAGAAATGGGAGTCTGTCTTTAATAATGTATCAGGCTATTCTAAACCAAGTAAAAATGAACTTCTTAGGAAATTGATTGACTCCTTGACCTTCATTATTTGAAATCACAAGAATCAACTTATTCCACAACAACCAAAATGTACTTATTCCCATAAGAATTGACAAATTGTCCAATAATATCTACATTAAACAATTCAACTTTCAAGAAGTCTAAGACATTTAGCACAAAGTTCAAAAACATCTTGATACAATGTTGGCCAATAGAACTCGTTTTGCAACACATTCAATTCAATGTCCTCCTCATACCACTGTGTCATGACCCCATGCTTAAAAATGGTTCCTGTTTCAACCTCTGGGAAACACCTTCAAATCATATTATCTACACATTCAGCGTTTTAACCAAAAGAACTTGTTGCACAATTTTAAAGAAATATGAGTCATCCTAATAAAAGTTCCGCACATCATGGAGACACTTCTTCTTTAATGGGATTTGAGGTCATCTGACATTAAATAGCAAACTTAGCGTAGCATGGTATTAGATTATGACACATGTTCATCGAGGAATGGGTCGTCAATTTCAATCGCTCTCGAAGCTGGGAATGATGGTCTGCCACTTGGTTCTCATAAACTTTGCGATATTAAACTTCAAAGTCAAACTCTTGTAAAAGTAAAAGTCAGTGGATTGATTTTTTTTGCCATGAGGTATCGAATAGTTGCATGGTTCGTGTGCACAATTACTTTGATGCCCAACAAATAATCTCAAAAGCATAGACAACACCTAGCCACTCTTGCTTATGATCATGTAATTCCTTTGAGCATCATTTATTGTCTTGCTTAAGTAGCACCCCTTATGACCGCCATTGACCATGCTGTAACACCTCATAATTTTGTAACATTTAGAATAATGGACGGGCCAAATCATCATGTTTCGCATCAACCATCAAGAAAATAATCATAAAAGGGTGAGATTATACAAAGAAATACTGAGATTGAGTCACACTTTGACTTCAACAAGCTGAATAATACCTGACAATATCCCCATGCATGCATGTGTTCTGAGACATCTCAGCACGCAGTCTCACAATTTGTCAATATATATATATATATATATATATATGCACAATAGAACCACAATCAAATATTTCCAAATTTTCAAGTTAATTTCTTGACGGCATGCATTGGGCATGTCCCTTGTTATTTTCAAGATTACACTTGGTTAAAAACTGATCAGTAGGTGAAAATAGAAGGATTACTTTCTTCCGAGATACATCAATGTAAGTACATCACAGGCATGGTGCATCATCCCTCCAAGATACATCAATGTAGGTACAATCAGAGACATACTGCATCATCAAGTCAAAAATTGACTTAGATAAGGAATTGAGATTTCAAATCATGATACTGCAGTCCACAGAACACAAGAAAGGTGATTTAGACATTTTATGACAGATCACCGGCTCCCAGATGATAACCTACACCTACAAACTATAAGCATCATGGGTTTTGGAGTTCTCTTGACTGTTTGCAGCACTGAAGAACAGGCTACTAATAGTGACCAAAATTCCTATTCATTTACGTACTCTGAAGCACTCAAATATTCACCATGCTCCTCAAAGTACTCAATCAATCCCTTCAAGAATTTATCACCACTGACTGTTTCAGTATCACATACAAGACAGCACTGTCTCCTTGCTCGTGTCACAGCAACATTCATTCTTCTTCTGTCACTAAGAAATCCCACCTAATCGTGAAATGTTTCATATTAGATTCACTGTGCTGTTACCAAAACTGAGTAGTTCAGCTATACATGAGACAGTTTCTACAGTTGTGAAGAGTACCTCTTTCTTTGAGTTTGATCGGACCATAGAAATGATAATAGCTTCTTTTTCTCGACCCTGAAAACCATCAACAGTCGAAATCTCCATTTCTTTTAATTCGTCTACATTGCTTTTGAGTGTTTTCAAGAAAACAACCTGCACAAGCATCTGTCATATAACACTCAAACACGAAACCAGTTCGTTTTTTTATTATTAAATCACACTTACCTGTGCTGCATAAGGAGTGATTAGTCCAATATCAGAAGCCCGGACTCCACTTTCAACTAGTCTCTTCGCATGGGAAATGGCAACCTCAGCTTCACCTTCATTTAACGTGCTATCTTCCTCATCCCTTTTTTCTTCCATGTCACACCTGCAACTTATAGGGTTAAGACCTGGCAGTAACACTAAAAGGAGGTTAAAGGTAGAATTTCTACATGTACACAAACACAATCATTCCAATTTTGTTCTGGTCCCCAGACCATCATAACATTAACTACAGAACATTCATCTAAGAAGTCATTTGAAATGGGAGAAAAGAATGAGTCCAGAAAATGGTAGAGGAGAGAGAGTGAGTAGCAAACCCAGCTGTGTCTATGAGCAAAAGGGCTTTTTCTGTAGAAGGCGATTCCTTCACATCCTCAAGGTGATATAGCATATGGCTTGCAACACTTGAATGGGCTTCAATCTACAATCATAAATGCAGCTGAATAGGTTTAGAAAAAATTAGATGCCAGAATATTTCGTTGATGCTGTTATCTTAGAGTATACTGAAATTTAAAGATGGTTGAAAAAAAATTGTTTTCAACCAACAGTTACAAATGACCAGCACCTTATTTTCATACAGCTCTCCGGATGACCAATTCATTATCTGTTCATGCATGCGGTACTGAACAGTGAGCATTGACATGATTTCATCTCCATATAAATCCGCTAAACGTTCAAAAAGTGTCTTTCCCAGTCCTTTCTTCTCAGCTTCTACACTTTGAATGGTCGGAGGAAGCTGGAGATGATCTCCAGACAATATACACCTTGAACCCTGTAAGTAAGGAACTACATCATTAGTTTTGCAGTGTTCTCTAGAGTTGATCAACAATTTAACATGATCACTCATTCATCTGGCTTTCAATTCTTTTGTTTCTTTTTCAGAAATAAGAAAAATGAGAGCACACATAACTGCAACATTGATTAGAAATTTGATCCACAATAACCTAAAGTGCAACTCACAAATCCACCAACACAAGCAAGAAAACAAAATATAAATCCACCAACACAAGCAAGAATACAAAATATAGAATTTTTTTATAAATAGTGCAAAACATTATAACCAATATTATCAGGGGAATTTAACCCATAAGGGCTTCAGTCTAGCCAGTTAAGCTACTTCCAATTAGCTTATTTATCCTCTTCCTCTTAATTCTTCGGAATCCATAGATCTAAACCTCCTCTAGAAAGATAAAGAGAAGCAAGGGGAGACCATAAGATAAGAAGTTTAGATGTGAATTCCAGCCAGTAAAGATGCTTCTACAAGAAAAAAAATCTTAATTCACAATATGTAACTAATTACTCCGTGACATGGAAGCAAACCACTGTATAATGATGTCAGTCTCATGTACAGAGACGAAGTAAAGTTTGGTCTTTGACTTGATACTTTATTCCACAAGGATATTAATGACTTATCTCACATCAGGCCTGTCCAATAAGTGTAATGACCCTCCTGGTCATTTGCTTGCTTTTGTTTGTTTTTGTTATTTGCTCCTTTCCCGGAGCTTCTTTACTGTTGTTGTGACTTGTTGAGATGGGTGGGAACAGTTCTCGAGGTGTTCAGGTGAGTTATGGGAAGGTTTCACTAGTTTTTGGAGCTTTAAGTTCAAAAGGTCGAGTTTGGTCAACATTCTTAGTAAGCGGGCTTGGATGATATTTCGCCGGTGTTGTTAGCTCAGGAATATTGATTTTGATTTAGTGGGACCTTTGGTTCAGCCTTACAGGTCCCGGGGTTTCTAGACTCGTTTTGTGCGCTTGGTTGCTTTCTCTGATTTTAGTTAAAGTGTTGACTTCGGTAAATATTCCGTCAAGATGACCTCCTGTTCACAAGCAACCTTTCACATTTTTCAATTACACCACTCCATATTCCACTTGACTTGCTCTTAGCCCCCAAAGGCATTCCCAAGCAGGTTGTTGTTAGTTCACCTACTTTCCCTCCTAGCTTGTAAGCTAAGTCCTAAATATTGGGTACTTGTTTTACTGGATAAATGAAACTCTTGTTCCAGTTTATGAGCAAACCTGACACAGCTTCAAAAATATTTAAAATACCTCTCAAAATCAGCATGTGCTCCTTTACAGCTCCACAAGATACTAGTGTCATCTGCATATTGTAGATGAGTGATCTCTAGATTGTTTCTTGTATTCTCCCCCACTTAGTAACCTTTGATCCAACCATTTGCTATGGTAGTCTGGAATAGGTCGGTCAACCCCTCCATAGCCAAGATAAAAAGAAAGGAGGTATGGGGTCCCCTTGTCTTAGACCCTTGTTTGATGGGAAAAAACCACATGGGTTACTGTTGATCAGAATAGAGAACTTCATTGAGCTTATGCAGTCTGATCCACTTTAACCATCTTTGACCAAAACTCATCCTCTGCATTATCTACATCAAAAAGTCCCAATTGTGATCAAATGCCTCTGGATATCCAACTTGCATAGGATCCCTGGTTGGTTACCCTTTTTTTAGAATCAACACATTCATCGGCTATAAACACTGCATCCATGATTTGCCTGCACTTGATAAAGGCCATTTGTTGCCTGTTCACAAGCTTATGCATCACCTTCTTTAGAAGAGATTGTTATTCCTTAAACTAAATGATTTTCCTGATTTGGATAGATGACACTATTTTTACTTGCGTTACTTTTCCTTTAATGAGTATGACGTGCATTTCAGGTGACCTGAGGGAAAATTCTAGGTTTTACTTTTCTACATTGCATATGCTATCAGCCTACGGGTGAGGGACCATTTTGAGTTTTACTTTTCTGCATTGCATAAATTGATGAGCCTAAGGGCGGCCCGAGGATGATTTCAGGTTTTACTTTTCTACATTTCACACATATTGCATTACATCATTCCATGTTCCACCGCAACAGTTATGTCTGCATGTATTTATATCCTATGAGTAGTAATATTTTGGTTGTTAGATTGTTTTGATTTTGTTATGACTAGATTTCTAGGTGGATCTCGTTTTATAGTTACTCTTCATGTTCTTTATGCTTTATGCTATCTTCTGAGCTCAGTGGGTCTATGATGCCTATAGAGGACCCCATGTTCTGGTACTCATAATATACTTCTGCATTTTTTAATGCAACGCCTAGTACAAGTCATCCACTTTGATCTCCCCTCCTCTGAGGCCTTCTTCTGATCGGATCATGGTGAGCTCTTGGCGTCCAGAGGCTTGCTGCTTTTCTTCTTGTATTTATTGTCTATATTTTGTATTTTGTCACAGTTATGCATTGTACAACCTTAAACTTGTATGTTGATAACTCTGGTACCAGTGACACCAGGTCCGGGCAGTTATCTTGTATATATTTTGTCTTTCCTTGTCCCCTTAGGGCACATGTTGTATATTTAGTTTTGATTTTTGGCTTACCTAATGGAGGATAGTAGGTGTCATCACAACTGAAAGGTCGTGATAATAAGTCTCAAACACAATGCAAACTTTAGAATTACTTGTCTTTGAAAAGAGGCAAGATCTGGCAGCACAACCGAAAACCCACTTGTTTCCTACGAGCATTTTTTGGTATACCTTTTCTGGCAACGCCAAAGGTCCTTCCAGTTATGCAGGCAAAATTTTAAAATATTGGCACTCTCATAGGTCAATAACACTTGGACCAGCAAGTTCAAGAACTTGTCAAAGTTCTTTTTCATTTATTGTTCTATCGAATTGGAAAAACCCGCAGATCTGCTATCCAAAACTCCGGATGCCAGCTAATTACAAGGATTGACTACTCCTACTATGTAAAAAAGACTCTTCTTTTCACAAATAAATTGTGTAAGAAAGCTTTACGCCAGAAATTCTCACTCTCCTGCAGCAGTTCGTATATAGACAGGGCGTTGATGTCAGATTCACCAATAGTTCAACAGGATTACCTTAAGAGCTGGTTGGCAATTTACTAACATAAACAAAGAAATCTAGCAAAAAAAATTCCATAGATTGAATTGTTTAAGCATCATAGATAGCATGTTCACCTTCAATAAAGCAATCCAGCATGCTATTTCCAGCGCCTGAGCAGCTTCATCAATAACAACCACATCAAATGATAAGCCATCCAACTTTTTGGTCAATACCCCAGTCAATGTTGTCAGCACTACATCTGCATTCTTAATAACATCCGTTACTGCTAGCTGCTGCCTTTTACGCTCTTCTCTGGAAAGAGACTTGAGTTCCCTCCGGATGTCCTTCTTCACATTTCTATCTTTAGCTTTTAATAATTTCCCATTCAATGCCTGCAGAATTCATCATGAAGCAAAAGGAACAATGCAACAGTAGAACAGAGAATTATCATGGTAGATATAAAAAAACATTCAAAAGTTACTGAACTACAGAAGAAGAGAAAGGGTATCAATAGACCTATCTTGAAAATGTGAACTGCCAAAGGAAATCCTTCTACTTGGAATTAACTTCCTCTAAAATGTTGGACAAGCTAAAGATAAAGTGGTCGTAAGTGATTACACCATACCTTCATCTCCTTGCGGATGTCATTTGCAAGAGAACTATTATCACCACGTAGAACCTATTGAGAAAGAAGAGATTACAAAACATATCTTTTAATCACTGAAAAAGAACATTAAGAAACAATACGTGCATAGGCAAAGCAACATATTAAGAATCAAATTATTTTCCCTAAGGCCAAAAGTCATGTAAAAAGGTGGGTAAAAGCCGAGTACAAGCACCGGACCACCTTACCTAGGGAATCAACAACATACCCAGTGAAACCTCACAAGTGGGGTTTGGGAAGGTTGTACCAGACCTAACCACTATCACGTGGAGGTAGAGAGGATGTTTCCAGAAAACCCTTGAGAGCAAATCTAGGTACAAAAGAAGGAAGTGAAGAATGTATAGCACTAAACAATATGTAAGTAGTGTTAAGTCTACTAGAACGAAGAAAAACAATAGTACAATAGTGTGATAATTGAAACACACTAAACAATAATAATACCACTAGTACAATGACAAACACTAACCACCACAAGCAAAACAATTCTACACTACTTGCTAAGTGCTAACCTTCTACCCTAATATGTGTCCTCCACACCCTCCTATCTAAGGTCATGTCCAGTATCTTACACCTCTCCCCAATACTTCTTCGACCAATCTCTGTCTCTCCTCGTACCAGGTGTGTGAACGAGCTTCACATGTCCAAACTATCTCAGTCTTGCTTCCCTCGCTTGTCCACCACCGAGGCCACTCCGATCTTATTATGAATATCCTCATTCCTAATCTTATTCCTCCTAATATGACCACACATCCACCTAAACATTCTTATCTCCGCAACATGCATCTTCAAGACATGGGATTTTTTGATAAGCCACTACATTGTCAGTCTAACATTCACTTTTTAGAATTTACCTTTGGGCTTCAATGGTAATCACATAAGAATCCAGAGGCAAGCCTCCACTTCATCCACGTTACACGAATACTATGTGTGACATCATCATCGATGTCCCTACTCTCCTAAATTGTTATTTTCTTTTGAAATTGATCGATATCCTACTCTCTTAAATTATTGACCCAAGGTACTTGAATCTGTTACTTTTCGGGATATTTCATGTTTCGAGCCTCACTTCCAAACCTACCTCATGCCTCGTATCACTGAATTAGCATTCCACAAATTATGTATTAGTCCTGCTCAACATGAACCCTTTAGTTTCTAAAGTCCCTCTTCCTTTCACAATATTTATCCATCACTCTCCTCACAAGATGGATAGCTTCGATGGTTGATCGTCTTATCATGAATCTAAACTGCTTCTCAGAAATATACACAACCCTCTTTTACCCCATCTCTACCACTATCCCCCAAACTTTCATATTGTGGCTTAACAACGTAATACCCCTATACTTCTTGTAATTCTGGATATCCCCTTTGTTCTTGTTCAATAAAAACATTAATACTCCACCTCCATTCATTGTGCATCTTAGTCATCTTAAAAATGACATTGAATAGACTAGTCAACCACTCCAACCCTACTCTATTTGAGCCCTTCCAGAACTCCACTAAGATCTCATTTGTCCCTGTCACTTTTCCCATGCTCATCCTACTATTAGCACCTCTAACGTGCTCAACCTTAACACGCCTATAGTATTCAAAATCTCGATGTCTCTCAGTGTGCTCCAACCCACACAACACAATGTCTTTTTTCCCTTCATTCAAAAGTTAGTGCAAGTAGATTTTTCACTTTTCTTAATGAGGGTCTCTATCGACACCCTGCCTTCTTCATCTTTAATGCATTTCACTTGATCCAATTCTTGAGCCTTCCTCTCTCTTTCGCCTTTGCAAGCCTATACAACTTCTTGTAACTCGGGTGCTTTAATCTATTTTTAACAACAACGCACTTACAGAGCAAGAAGGATACCAAATTGTTATGTTCCTATGTTCTAAAAGAAAATTACACCAGACATGATAGCATTCCATGATACAAGATTCCTGCCAAATGAAAATGGTAAAATCTCACCTGGGCATCCAGAGCGTTATCCAATACTTGTGGGAGCATACGTGCAGGATGTCCCAATCTCACCAGTTTCACTCTGACAAAAATGGATAGTGCAAAACCTTTTAACAATCCAAAATAACATCACAAAAATATGATAATTAAAAAGCATCATTACATGTAGCTCACCACTAGGACATAAAAATCCCACAAAAAATATGGTATTGTCATGTGTATACTAGTACGAATTGCATCTATGAACTTACAGTTAACACATTATCTTTGTTAGAATAGTAATAGGTATATATAATCCTCCTTAGAATAGGAATAGGAATAGTATATACAGTGTCCTACTTAGAAAAGAATTGTATTATAGTGTCTATAAATAGGGTGTCTAGAGACAACAATTCAATAATATTCTTTTACAATATTTCTCACGTGGTATCAGAGCCTCTACGATCTTGGTAAACAATCAAAGAGCTTCCGCTGCTAGCGGGAGGCTATTACCCATATATGTTGCTGATCTGGCCAATGATTATGTTAGCAAAAGTTGTAGCACCTTGTCATCTTTCCGGTGACTACTTTTTCATATTTAATTTGTGTAGCTTTCCTGTGACTACTTTTTCATAATTAATTTGTGTACCATTGTGCCATCATTCAGGTGACTAATTTCTCATATCTGATTTGTGTAGCACCGTGCCATCATTTTAGTGACTACTTTTCATATCCTATGTGTAGCACCATAACATCCTTCCGGTGACTACTTTTTTTTTATATCTTATTGCGTAACACCGTGCATCGCTTCAGACTACTTTTCATATTTAATTTGCATAGAACCAGGGATTTTCTGAACTACTTTCTCAGATTTGAGTTGCATAGCATCGTGTGTCTTTTTGGTGGCTCCTTAGATTTGATTTGCATAGTTCCTTTCATCTTTTTAGTGACTGCTCAAATCTAATATTTGTAGGGTTGTACCATCATTCCGACCCTACCCATATAATTTCTCTTTTCCAGTAGGATTGTGCCATCATTCCGACCCTACCAATATTATTTCTCATTTTCAATAAGATCATGCCATCAACTCGGACTTTCCTATATAATTTCTATTTTCTATTGGGATCGTGCCATTTTTCGAATCCTACCCAAATAATTTTATTTCTTAGATTTTGAGCACTTTCAGCCATCAAATCTAATACTCTGGCATATGAGCATGTTCCAACCAATTTTAGTGGCTTTCTTGTTTAATATCTACTTATCTATTGATTACAACACGACCCATATACTTTGTACTAGGTTTTGAGCACTTTCCAGCGACCGCTTCATTGTGAAGAAGTCTACAAGGAACAACCACCTAATTCTATTGCTAAGGAAGAGGTAGTAGCCTTGTATGTCAATTATATAAGTCACTTTATGGCCTAAGTCTTTGCAAGCTTGGTTTGGGAAGTTCAACACTGTAATTTTGTCACTCTGCGTTTTATCGCATTATATATCATATTCAGTATTTCATGAGAAGACCAAGCACATTGAGATTGACTGACTTTATGCTTCAAATCCAATATTTCATGAGAAGACATTGAGATTGACAATCAATTTTGTCAAGTCAAGTGATCAACTTGCAGATATCTCACCATGTTCCTCATCAGTCCTCGTATTAATTATATTTGAAACAAGCTAGATACATATGATTTGTATGCACTAGCTTGAGAGGGAGTGCTAGTATAGTAATAGGTATATAGAGTCCTACTTAGAATAGGAATAGGGTATAGTATATAGTGTCCTACTTAGAAAAGGATTGTATTGTAGTGTCCTAGTTGGAAAAGGTGTCTATTATAGTGACTGTATATAGGATCTCCCTGTAGAGACAACAATTCAATAATATTCTTCTCCAATATTCTCACCATCTTAAATAGAAAAAAATGATACAGGCGTACTATAAAATAGACTGTTAGACAGAACAACATCCAACTTAAAAACTCATCAAACCATAGATCAGATCTTCTGGTCAAAGAAATAAAAGTGGCAGCATTAAAATTTTAAGTAAAATTACAAAAGGTGAAGCACATATCTGAGTCTGACCATTTCACGTTGAGCACTTGAGTATATTGCCTTTTCAGTTGTAACATTAGGCTGGCTAGAGAAAAGATGGTGAAAAGAAGATAAAGCACATTCCACTAAGACATCAATGTTTCACGTTGAGGAGAAAGAGGTTTACTAGAAATTATCAACCATGACAGATCATTTTACCTGTGTGGAACAAGTCTCTCAACAATGTTATCAACAGCAATATTTGAAGCAGCGCAAGCGAGAATCTTTGAACCACGTTTGACTTCCTGCAAAATTATCTCAACAACAGTGGTCGTTTTCCCAGTTCCAGGAGGCCCATGCAACAAAAATACATCCTTGGATGAAAGTGCCTTCGAAATTGCATCTTTCTTAAAAGTTTAAGAGAAAAAGTATCAGTTACTAGTGTCTGGCATATACATCTGCAATCATCAATACTTCTCAATGCTCCTTTACTCCATATTAAATAAGAGAAAACCAAGGAAAATGCAGTACAATGTATCCTAAATCATTTTTAAAACCAATCAATAAACAACCCTAGATCCCAAACTAGTTGAGTTTGAGAATAACAACAAAGAATTAAAGCCAATAGTTGATATTGCTTATATGGATCTTTGCTTCCGTTGAGTTCTATCTTAATTAAGCTAGTGTTGACTTATAACAGCCCCATATTTTGAAATCTCAGAAACAAAGAGGGAAAAATTTGCACCCAATTCACAAGATTTGTGGATATCAATCAAAAATTAAAATTTATCCAATTTGAGTTATTCACTCAAATGATTTACTTATCATTTTTATAGCCCTATCATCAAACATTTAAACAAAAATTCTTCGCAAATGTTGATCATTTTATGAGAAAGCCATTGCTAAAAGTGTACTAATCATTTGAATCTTGCAATTGTTTTAACTTTCAGGTGCCTAAAGAGGAACTGGTTTAGAAAGGCTGTCAAACATCTGAAACAAGAAATCATAATGGAGAGGAAAAATTGCAGCAAACAAGCCATTTGAACATCCAATTTCTAGAAGCTACAGTAATGCTGTCGCTTTCAGTAAGTAAAGGTTAGGCATTAACATGGACATCTCTGTCTGTCCCTACCTAAGTTGTGTGGCCTGTTTGTCCCCTAAATTGCACTGGATATGGTCAATAGTTCTAGGGTACTTTAACCAAATTGATTTAAGAAAAATTCAGGACATTTACAATGATTTCTATTAGAACAAAGGTTAGGGTGAAACAATAAGTTAAGGCATATGGTTTTAATCGTTAAAAGATATATTAAAATTAAAAAATCTGCAACCAGAAGGTGCTTTAAATATATTTATAGGTCAACATCACAGTTGAATTTGCAATGGACTGAAGAAACACATTTGTGCCTGATAATAATTACAGAACATGCTCCTGAAAATTCGTTCATCCTTTCCTTCCAATTAATCCATAATAAATTTATCCATACTTTTACAACTGTATTTTTGGATATTTAAATTGTTTTTAGCCGAATCCACGCACCCATATCCATACCCGGATACTGCCCCAGAATCATAAAATTTAGATCATGAAAGATCCGACCTCTAGATCGGCATTCGTATCAGGGACACCCGCAACCGAGTCCAAGCAACTTAGGTCCATAAAGATTTCTCCAAGCGCAAGTATTGCAATTTTTTTTCGTAACTAAATCATCTCTATGGAACAGATTTAGGACAGTTCCAAAAAATCTTTGGGTTATCGAATTTAACATTGTGCATTAATTATTTACACTTGCAATTTTGTTGAGACTTCTCTAAAGACTAACACAAGTCAAGATGGTATACATGAGAAAACGGTCAAATATAACAAGCAAGATACTCTTTGCCTCTCTACAAAGACAGACTAATCTGAATACTGGTTATAAAAGAATGCACCAGTAAAACACGTCAAAAGCAGAGGGAAAATGATGAAGTGGGAACAGGGGTGTGGGTAAGATTAAAATAGTTAAAACAATTGATGACTTCACAACCTGCGAGTGATCAAGGTTGCGATTCGAAGGAGTGAAACTGACATCCTTCTTAGACATTGTTGGAGGTCTCTCCCCAAAAAGAACACGAACCAAGTCAGAGGCAGGGCCCTTCAGCACACCTTTACTCAATTGTATCAACGTGTCTTTCATCCGACGGTAGGTCACCTATAAAAGCAACTCCAATAGAAAGATTCTTTGAACTTCAGTGTTCCATATATAATCTTTTCTCCGCCAGCAGAATATATAGAATTTCTAGAGCATGACTTTTCCTTTTACCTGAACTCCAAACCATCAAAATGTACAATAATAGCATGCATAGCATTACTAGCTTTGACACCTTCGGAAGTTAAAGAAAAAATCTTCCTAGTGATTTTGGGGAAGATGCTATCTTAAACTTATTCAGGTCAGACCTTACTGTTTAAAAGATAGGTGATCCTTAAAAACTCAAGTCCGATCAAATTGTATCCTATGTACTTATCAAATACAGCAGAAACAGGGATTAAATGTTTTTATTTGTTATATCAAGATTGTGTCGGGGCTCATTCAGCTCTTTCAACTTTCAAATGTATTTCATACCTAGGTAACAAACATGACCTGTTCCAGATCAAGAATTATGTACCTCATTTGCCAGTTTCTCAAGGCGTAAAGGATTATTCAGACATTCTTCTGGGACATCATCAAAAGCAATAGTAATAGATGAGTCCTGCTCCATGAGAAAACAATCATTTAAAGATCCAACCAAAAAATATTACCAATAAACTACAGTTTTGTAGAAATTCAAAAAACAACATACCCAAAATAATCCCATAAATTGAGGTCTGGGGAGGGTAGAGTGTATGCAGACCTTACCCCTACCGAGTAGAGAGATTGTTTTGGATAGACCATCGACTCAAGAACAAACTGTCCGAAGCAATCCAGATACAAAAATAACGGAAGTACAAGCAAATAGCAAATAATATCGTAACAGAAACTATAACAAAACAATGAACTAATATAAAACAAGAAAAACATAGAATAACAGAAATCGCGGGACAAGAAACTATAAAAGCACTACTACAAATACTAATATGACTGGAAAACAAGACAACGGACGGCTACCTATGAACCTTCTACCCTAATTCGGGTATTCCACACCCTCCTATCTAAGGTAATATCCTTGATAAGCTCAAACTGCCTTATGTCCAATCTAATCACCTCTCCCTATTCTTCTTCGGTCTACCTCTACCTCCCCTGAAACCATCCATAGCCAACCTCTCACAACTCTACTCTAATGCATCTCCTCTTCACATGTCCAAACTATCTCAGTCGGCATCTTGTCCTCCGTTGAAGCCTCTCCCATGTTGTCTCTGATTTCTTCATTTCTAATCCTATCTCTCCTAGTATATTGACATATCCATCGCAACAATCATTTCCGCAACTTTCATCTTCTAAATGTGAGATTTCTTGACTGGCCAACACTCCATCCCGTACAACAAAGTTGGTCTAACCACCACTTTATAGAACTTGCCTTTAAGTTTTGGTGGCAACTTCTCATTACATAAGACTCCAGAAGCGAGCCTCCATTTCATCCACCCTGCACCAATACGATAAGTAACATTCGTCCTTGTCAATCTGCCTATTGACTTGGATAATAGACCCAAAATACTTGAAACTTCCTCTTTTTGGATGACCTATATGTCAAGCCTCACTTCTAAACAAATCTCATGTGTCACGTCACTGAACTGAACTTGCACTCCATGTATTTTGTTTTGGCCCTACTTAATTTGAACCCTTTTAAGCTCTAGAGTCTGTCTCCAAACCTTTAGCATAGCGCTAAAGTTGTCGCGAGTCTCGTCAACCAATACTATGTCATCTGCAAATACCATAGATCATGGCATCTCACCTTCTATTTGTCTCATCAACGTTTCCATCACCATGGGGAATAAAAACGGGCTAAGGGCTAATCCATGGTGTAACCCCATCAAAACTAGGAAATGCTCTGAGTCTCCTCCCAGGCCTTACTCAAGCCTCTACTCCATCATACATGTCCTTGATTACCCTAGTGTATGCTACAGGTACACCTCTAGCCTCCAAGCAACTCCAGCCACAGATAAAATAATAATAAATTGAAATTAAAAATAGATTTTGGCCTCAGATTAACATTACATTCACTTAACATCCTTTCTTTTACATATTTGGTTTCTCTCTCCTTTTTGTATACCAGTAAATGCTTTAGAGCAACATTACCTTTAGTCTGTGGACAACTCCCTGTCCAAGTGCAGGACAGCCTAAATCAGCTTTCTTTGGCTTCAAAACAACGACATCATGAGTGCCAAACTGCATGAGAGGAAATTATCTTCAGTACATATAGTAACAACTAATTAAGAAGAAGACTGAAGGGGCAAGCCGAAGGAAAGTAGAGAACTTTTGATCAAAATAGTAAAACATGATATCATTAAAACACAACCATAGTGTATACCTAGATACATACGAATCGAATAGCGTTACAAGTTTAATTTTTTCTAAATATTTATTCTCATTGGCCTCTGTGAGCCTGGTTGAGGACAACTTAAAACCTGAAGCTAAATAAAGTGCAGGTTGTGCGCATCGTTTCTATTAGGTGATGTTTGGTGCAAGCACCATGATATCAAGATGTGCAACTAAACAGCCATGAACTTTGTGTTAAAGTGGGCAGCACTGAGGGATATAAATAGCTGGAAAATCAATAATTAATTGTTAATGAAACATTATAAATAAATATGTTAGTGATTATGAATAAAAAACTATAAGTTAAGTAAAATTAGTCACTAAGTTGAATAAGATACTCAAAAGTACCCGTATGCATTTGAGTTAAAAGTTAGAATGGTCTTGAATGACAAGGTTTTACTCCACGAATTTGATTCATTTGAAAAATTTTAAATCCCTTGGTTCAGTAACCATTGTTTGTGATTATAATTATATACATGTGGTACATATACATTTTGTTTTCTTCTTCTACTTTGTCAATGAAATGAGTGCTTTAACTTTGCTTTGCACTTGATACCCAGCAGACAGTTGCCTCATTTTTACGCTGTTCGCCTTTGACGGCATTGATCTCTAAGAGTCAAAATATTTTTTATAATTGCAATAAATTGCCTAGAGCTTGAAAGCATCAGAGAGAAATCCCCTTAAACACATCAGCATTCACCTTGTGAGGCGGAAGGATATCCCCTTTGTTTGATTGAAACTCCAGAAGCATCTTGCCCATTAGCCCTGTCTGTCCATAAAACTAAAAACTTGTGAAAATACCCTGCAAAATATATAATAATGTGCCCAAAATAGCATAACCAAGCAGCTGGGAGAGAATACCTGGATATCGACACACTTCAAATTAAGAATAGTGGAACCCTTCTTCTGAGCAGAATCCAAACTCCTTGTCTCAGCAGAGTTCATGGAAACTGATATTTCAGCATCCTAAAAACACCATACAGGCAACAGAGCATAATATCAACACTTCTATGGAAAAAGAGAGAACAACATCTCTAGCTATAACAAGTACTTCCTCTGTCCCACTTAAGGTGTCCAACCAAACCATCAACCACATCCTGATCACAAACTAGTTAGGGCCAACTATATGAAAACTTCTGATCCATTAATCTGTATTTAAGCATGTCAATGTAGCCCCAACTACCTCAGTGCTTACAAGATTCATTATAATTCGACTGAAGCGGTCAATCTACCACAGTTATTCTCTTGTACATAAACTTAGACTCGGCTTGCTAAGCTCACAATAGGCCAAAGTTCCCACTTTTTGTGTCAGCATTTTAGCCTAATTTGCATCTTAACTTCAGTTTAGGCTGTGATGCTTATAACAGTAGCAAAAAACATTGATAACCGAATCTCCTATCTTTTGACTGCCAAAAAGTCTTAAGCATAGTTACATTGGGGGCACCGGGAATATTTGATTAATAAATTATGCTACAATACATTGATCACCTCTTTCATATACATTTCAAATGAAAAGAAAGAAAACAAAAACTTTAATCGAACAAAACCACAGATTCCGCTAAAACCCATCAATCCAAAAAAAAAAAAGGTGGTGACAAGGTTGTCTTTTGCATGTACCTGAATTACAAGAAAAAAAGATATAGAAGAAGGATGTACCTTTTCCAAATCTATTAAAGGAGCCATGGTGGAAACGAATTGCTCCAGTGTTATGGCACTTGAGGGTGCTGGCTTGTTCTTGTTCTTGTTCTTGCAGTTGCTCTTCCCTTTCTCCATTGTTACTCACACAAACAACTGAAAAGTGGGAACCGATGAGGATGATGAACGTTGGAAGGCAACTATTTCTTTTTTTACTTTCAATTCAATGGGGGGTTTTCAAAGGGTTATCAAGTTCTCATTCCCAATTTTTCCTTTTTCATTTTCCAAGATATAAAAATAGGTTGGGGTGTTTTTGGTAGGCGTTTTTTTCAATTTTCTCATATTTGAATTGCTTAAATATTTTTGATTTAACTCATTTTATTTAAATTTAAGAAAATTACTCTCCTTCAAAAAAATTTAGAAAAATATTTTTTGGACTCTCCTTCATCTTTAAATTAAAAATAAATAAATTCTTACCCCTCCCATTTAAGATTTTTTTAAAAAATTGAAAGTCTTACTATGTTAATTTTAATTATTCTTTCTTCTAAATTATGTGATGTTACTTCAATGATAATTTTTTTTAAAAATTATATATTAAAAGTTTTAAAACAAATCATAAATATTTATAAAATTATATTAAATAAAAAGTGCATGAATTAATTTGGAATGTACTATTTTTTTTTACCTTTAATCATAAATTTCGAATTTAAGCTTGAAAGAATCATATTGAAAGTGACCTCCTAAATAACGGCTCAACCTAAATTTGATTGGGGTTTCGATTCGGACTCGAATAATTTTGGATGTCATTTTTCAGGAATCTATAATTCTGTCGTGTTTTAGTAGTGTTTATGGCGATTTTGATATCATAATTGACTTATTAATTGGGTGGGGTTTAGTTAGTAATGAGTGGGTAGTGGGTTGATTAATAAATTATACTTAAATTAAATTATAACTAATACTTGAGTGCCAAATATTTAAAAAAATATTTTAACAGTTTAATTTTAAAACACTTAAATAAGTGGTCAATTTACAATGGTATTTTGGAGTCAATAGGTGAGTAAAGGGTAATTTTGTACTATTTTTAATACTTCGAGTGTATTTTAGGCTCTTTTCCATTTTCCAAAATATAAATAGGATTAGGGGGTCGGGGTGTGGTAGACATGTTTTCCAATTTTCTCATATTTGATTAGCTTAAATAATTTAGAACATATTTTTAATTAACTTATTTTACTCACATTTAAGGAAATTGCCTCCTTCAAAAAAATTAGATTTTTTTGCCTAATGACCTAATCCTCCCCATTCAAGATTTTTTTTAACAATTTATTTTGTCCCTATCTCCAATAAATAAAAAAATAACTAGAAATTTTACTTTTGAAAATTCAAATTTTTGATTTCTTTTTTTACCTCGCACAACTCCTGGTTTCCCTACCCCGCCTCCCACAAAAACTTCAACAAGTATTGATTTTAAAAAAAGAATAATTTTAGTTCAAAATTTCATTTTATTTAACCCACACCAACCCCAATCCTCTACCACACCAAAAAAATAATTTAAACATTTTTAAAAATATATTTTAAATTTTTAAATTTTAATTTTACCCCACCTTACCCATACCCCTACTAAAGGTGACAGCGGAACCGGCAATTATCGGTTACCGGTCTGGTCCGGTTTCGATTCGGTATTGGTTAGTCTCAGTATAGATCTATTCTTTCTGATTCCGAGATAGATATCGGGACGAAAACCGTTATTTATCGGTATTTTTTGGTTTCGAAAATTATCAGTCCGGTCCAATTTGTCCGACCCGGTAATTTTTTTTAATATAAAATATATCCGTTAAAAGTCATTGGGTAACGGCTAGTAAACTCCCCCCCCCCCAGCGGCTATTTGAGTAAAATTTCAGCAAATAGGAGTCCTTCCCCAACCCGAACTTTTCTAATACCCTAAAGTTTTAAAATTACACTTTAACCCATTTTTTTACTTATAAATACCCCTAAATTTCATTCTTTTAAATCACAAAATCGACTATTCATCTTCTACTCTCTCAACTCTCTTCTCTCTAATCTCTAATTCTATAATATATAATATCTTAAATTCCGGTGTTGCCTTATTTGGTCTTTGGAAATTAGATTTGGAGCTTCAAAATTCAATTTTCAACTTTTCACGTTGGGCTTTCGGTGGTCATAAACGTCTACTTTTTTAAGTAGACATTCGGTACATTCGTTCCAACTTTTATTTTTCATTTCATTTATGTTTAAATAATTATTTATTTATTTTGTGATTTATTATTCGCATTATATTTTTCGTATTATATATAATCCCACGTTTAATTTTTTAATATGGATTTCGGTAAAAATATTGTTCAAAAAGGAAAGGGAAAAAAGTGCATTAGAGCGTGTAAAAAATATGTGTAACTTTACATCCTCCAATAATGCAAAAATCGGTAGTTCTTCTAAATCAAAAACTAAAAAATCTACTATATTAAGAATAAATACGGATGATTATACACATGGTTTTTAATATTGATAGTAATTCAGGATTAGATCCTTATCATGAACATTTACAACGCCGCTTTGGTAATTTTGATGAGGATTTGCCTAGTGATAATGATATTGATAGTTATACTGATACGCTTACTTTTGATGATGATGATGATGAAACTGAGCCACCTACGACTACTAATACTCCCAGTTCCGCTCCATTTCGTTGTCCTGCCCCTGTTCCCCCAGTACATCCTATGCCTAAGGTAGAACGTGTTAAAAATCGGTTGTTTGGCAATTTATGACACAAAACGAAGATAAAACACAAGCTATTTGTAATAAATGTAAACATAGATTAAATCATAAACCTGTTGGTAAATCTGGCGGGACGGGACATTTGAGTAGTCGTTTAATGTCTTGTTGTAAAAATGAATTTTTGCATGCTAAAGCGGTAGCGGAAGTTAAAAAACGGTACCCCCCTTCCTGAAAATGTAGGAGTAGTCGGCTCTAACATGGTACAAACACAATTAAATCCGTCTAATGTTTCTGGCTCTAGTTTACCACTTTCATATAGTAGAGAAAAAGATCTTGAAGAACTGGCGAAAATGGTATGTGTTATGGGTTTGCCATTTAGTTTTGCTGAAAATTTCGATTTTATACATTATATTCAAATTGTATATAATCCAAATTTTAAAGGTTTTGCTAGAAATACAATTAAAAAAAAGGTTGTATTTGATTATCATGCACAATATTTTTAATATCTTCGTTGTTTATTTTATTATAATACTTGTAAAATAGCTATTACTTCTTATATGGGTCGTAGTGTAAACGGTAACGATTATTTGACTGTTACTGCACATTGGATTGATGAAAATTGGTATATGCAAAAAAAAAATTTAGGTTATAAATGTTGTCAAATGCAAAAAGCCGGTACTTATATTGCTCAAACTATTTTAGATATTTTACAAAGTTATGAAAATATGTGATAAAATAAGTTTTATAACCTTAGATAATGCTTCAAGTAATAATGTTGTTGTTGAATATTTAAAACCCTACACTTTGTACTTTCTATGGTGTACTGCACATATATATAATTTGATGGTTAGAGATGGTGTACATATGTATGATAACGGATGTACGAAAGTTGAAAATGTATGTCATTTTATATTTAAATGTCAAGTTAAGTCTAGGCGTAAAGATTTTGAAAATCGCTGTTTTGAAAATAATCTTCCACCTAGAAAAATTTCAAAAACAGTGGCTACTAGATGGAATACTTTATATGAAATGCTTGTAGTCGCTTATGAATATCGAATACCCTTACAAATGGTTTGGAATGATCATAATTCTGATATGACATATAGACTAGATGATAATGATTGGCGTGATATAGATGAACGTATAGATTTCCTAAAAGTTTTTTACTTAACTACAAAAAGAATATATGTACTTTATAATGCATCAATTTGTACTGTTTCCCTTATATTTGTATGATTTCTTCTAAATTATATAAATTTAAAAATAACCAAGATTTTAACAAACCATTGAAAAAATGATTCTAAAATTTAAAAAATGTTATATTCCTATTCCTTAAATTTATTTAACTGCATATTTGTTAAACCCTAAGTATAAAGATGTAGGTGCATCAAAAATGGTTGAAAAATGTATTTTAACTTAGATATTAATGATGTATTAGAAGAAATTCCTAGTTGTCAACAAGTTAAAGATAGCATAAAAATTGAAGCTAGAAAATTGTATGATTTATATAATGCTAATATAAATTTATCAAGTAAAAATGAACCTTAAAGCTCTAGGAGTAGATTTGATGAAAATAATATTGATGATTATTTACAGAATTATCTTGAACTTTCTCACGATAATAGAAATGATTTTGACGCCTATGTTAATCAAAATACAGAACCTACTGAAGATATTCTAGCATGATGGAGAATCGCGGCAAAGAATTTCCAAAACTAGTACCGATGACTCAAGATATATTAGCAATGCAAGCGTTGTCGGTAGCTTCGGAAGGCGTCTTTAGTGCAGCAAGGTTTCAACTTGGAGAACATAGGCATTCACTAGCAGTCGACAACTTAGAGATATCAGTATTATTTCGAGATTGGATTAATGCCGAGAGAAGAAATTTGGGTCGTGAACCACTACCGACCAAATTTCAAGATGACGTTGATGAAGTAATGCAGGATTATAGTGACGACGGTATTGAAGCAATGGAAGATCTTTCTATTCAACCAATTCCCGAACATGTTACTAAAGAAATGTTGAATGATTTACGAAAGGATTTATATGGTGGCACCAATTATTAGTAAAAGTATGATAATTTGAGATTTAATTCAAACAGAACCCTTCCTAGAAGATGGCTGTGTAGATTAAATCTTTTAATACTCTACTAATATTTTTGTAAATGTAATTGTAATATCAAATAAATATTAATAAAAATATAGGCTATTCACCTTAATTTGTTTTTTTAATATTGTTGTATTAAATTTAATTTTTAATATTGTCAATTTTTAATTTCTAACTTTAAAGTTTAAATTTAAAAATTTCAAACTTTAAGAGTTTGAAATTTAAATTTCATAACTTTAAAATTTGAATTTAAAAATTTCAAACTTTAAGAGTTTGAAATTTAAATTTTATAACTTTAAAATTTGAATTTAAAATTTCTAACTTTAAAAGTTTGAATTTAAAAATTTCAAACTTTAAAGTTTGAATTTAAAATTTCCAAATATTAAAGTTTATAAAATTTAAATTTGAAACTTTAAAAGTTTGAAAATTTTAAATTTAAACTTTAAAGT